AATAAATGTTGTAACATAAATGAGCCTTTTAAAGTAACACCCTGTACTTGTGAGGTAATTGTTACGAACTAATTTCAAACGAGGCACACATTACGATTCCACTTTTGAAATTATTAGAAGTCTCTGCTGTTTTCCAAATAGAAATTAAGGTTTAGTTTTAAAAATAGAAACATGTAGCCGACCTCTTTTCAACTAGCTTCCACATAGAATATCGCCTTTGATCTGGATCTGTTGTTAATGTACCAAAAATTAACCTACACTCGAATAAATAATTTCAATCTTAAAAATATCAGGATATTAACGTTTCTTTACTCACCTTAGTCAAAATATTAATTTAATAATTATTTACATTATAAAAAATAAATTCAAAATTGAAAAGCGCCGCGATTGGCTTGCCAGCATGATGCAAAAATGTAAAAAACTTGAACAAAGCGCGAATATTTAGTGATTCGTTGTTACGCAGCGTACTGTGTTGCAGAACGCGATATAGAACGCAGGTCGCAACAAGTGCTGAATGATGTATGGGGCGACGTGCTACTGTGTGCCGATATTCTGTGCTCTATGGCTGATTCTAAGCTGTACCAGCTGCTCTCTAACTATACGCTCTCAGTACTTTCACCTACATGTATTTACAAAGTCAACTAAACTTTTTGCTAACACGCTACGTAATAAATTCCAGGCTGAATAAAGTATTATAGTTGTGTATTATATTAATTAAAAATGATCTTCTATATGATAATAATAATTAAAGATTTAATAAAAATATAAAAACGTTCTATGTGTACTAAAGTCTCTCTGTTTTTGTGTACTTTTTGTATGACAATATAAAGGTTCTTTCTAATTTTCTAACATGTGAGCTCGATTTCTTTCTATTGGCGATTAGCGATGTAACTAACTGAAGTTTAAGGAGCGAATGGATTGAAGGTAGGTAAGTGGTATTAGGTATAATTAACTCTTTACCAAGCAATAGCGTAAAATTGCTTTCCTTCCCTCATAAAGCAAGTACTTCATTTGAACAGTAAAATATTACGGAAACCAGAAATAAATAAATGGAAGCACTTCTAATAGCGGTCTTAAAATAATTGATTGTTGTTGTGACCAGAGCCGAATGAGGGTAGCCCAGTAAAGCGTTAAATGTGTGCTGGTGAGGAGATGATGACCTGGCTGAAAGTTAGGGGGTGATACTGACCCGATAGTCAGACGTCAGTCTCTATAGCTTCGGCGCCATGCAGGTTGTTGACGCGCACGGTGCAGGCGCGGCGGCGTGCGGTGTGCTCGCGGCGGGGGCCGGGCCCAGAGTGGCCGTGGGCCTGGGCCTGGGACTGCGACTGTCCCTGCGATTGGGCGCGCTGCCTCCGCGCCTGTTGCTTCTCCAGCTTAGCTTGCCGCAGCTGTGGGCAGTACACACCGAGCATTAATACACAACTCCATCCCATCTTATAGTAATACATCTATCAATGTGAATCAGAGCATTTCAGACTGTAATCAACGCTTTATCATATGCTGCTTGTTTTTCATCATGTGAAGTGGACTTACATAGAAATATATTATAAAATATAATTGGTTGGTCATATATTTTGAGGTATACCATACGTATCTATGTAGCTTAACGTAATATTTTCTGGGGCCGTGACTTACTCGTATAAATATAATACAATATTAACAAAAGTAACAATGCCTAGTCTTTTCGACACATTGTCGTTGTTAATTAGTGTATGTTCTTCGAGTTATTAGGTAAATGTGTAAGAAGGGTCTCGGACTAAATCTTATCATTAATTATAATGTATATATTTCTTGGAAATTGTCTTTGCCTCTAGCTAACATGATATTATCTACTAACACAGACATAAAAAAAACCCGGCTTAGGAATTAGTTTTGGTAACAAAGAAAATATATGTGTAATAAATATTATTATTAATAATAGTATTACTTACTTAACAATAAACAAAAAATAATAATTAAGCATCTAGAGAATAATATACCAAATTGTAAATGAGTAACTATGGAGTAATTGTCATTCCACTCGGTAAGAACTAAAAAATACCTTTTACCAAAAGGTCGAAAGAAAATAATTTTTGTACTTCAAAATATGTTTATCCCGTTTCAATATCACCATTTTTAAACGGTTTTATTTAACTTAATTCATTATATTACTTGATCATTTTTTCCTTTAAAAAATACTGTTATAAAAACAAGACACCCTGATAATTAACGTACGTGATTCAGTCGAATCGCATCTTGGTGTTCCAGGGCACCGATGTCATCGTTGCCGCCGGTCTCGAAGGTCGCCTGCTGTTCCAGCAGTACCTTCTCCTCATCTTTGAGGCGCCTGAGATTCTGCTCCAAGTGAGGATCAGCCACCATGGCCCCCTCTTCCATATCCATGACGTCCGAAGACGATTCACCGCTTATTGAAGACTTTTTGTGAATTGGACCTGAAACTGTATCAAGAATATTAAATTCTGGATAAGCTGTCATGTATATGATCTTGTGAAGAATTATCACCTGTGTCGTTTTGTGATAGGGTTCAAAATTTATTAAAGAATATTGACAGCTTTGGATAAATTGATTTATTTGTATATCGGTATCTCTTGTAATAACGCAATGTACCACCTACTATTAAATGTTTTCGCGGTTTTTACTTGTACTACGATAGATTTGTTTGAATAAAGATTGGTTATGATTTTTAAATTATTTAGGTACTATTTTGTTTTAGACTTCTGTAGCGTACATACTAATACGTACTTAAGGAGACCCGAGGTGTTCCGCAAAAGAAAAAGTTGATCAGGTAAAATGTCCTTCATAGACATAGCCCGACCCGGTTCAACAACAATGATGAACCGAAACATGAGCCCAAATTAATTATCGTTAGTTAATTTTTTTCATAAAAGTATGATTGTCTACCTGTATCAGCTCGTACGCGGTCGCTGCATTATGCTGAGCGTGGGCCATTTCGCGTGCTTGGACGCATATTTTTCTCCTACCGTCTACTTTTGTGATATTGTTTTTACCTTGCTCAATGTATTTTTATTTTAACTTTATTTTATTATCTTGTTCGTTTTGGGTCTTTTATGCGTCCCCGACGCGAATAAATACTTTTTCTTTCTTTCTTTCTTTCTATGTAACGTTTATGTAATCTATTTTAGTACAATTTTATGTTATTACAATTTAATGTTCTTAACAACAATGCCTTCAACTTTTTATGACCTATACAAAATTCAAATCGGAAAATGTTAATTCTGATAAAAATAATTCACGCCTAACATGAATTACTGCTTTGTGGGTTGAGTTTATACATATATTTATTTATTATACGTTTATTTATATACAATAAAACATAAAGCAGGGAATTCTTTCGCCTATCATTATTTTTCTCAACTATTTATAATATTAAGCTTATGGTCAAGTTTAAGGTAAAGTTTTTAGAAACTGTCGAAACCAACGACGTCTATTTACTGTCTCGAGTTTGTTTTCGCGTCAGGATTGGGTTAAGTAATATTGTGGTTTATAAGTTTCTAACTTCAACATTGTTTTAAAAATATACTGTAAACATATCACACCGGAACTAAATATGCATAATAGGCAAAACGATAGAAGTACGAAAAGTATTTTGTATAAACATTATGAAGTCTATGGAGTTGTCTGGCACGATGCCATTGAGAGTGACTCCATCCAACATTGATTTACAACATAATTTACAAGAAAATACGAAATTTATATCATGTCCCACCGTTCGTTCGTATCATTTATAAACCATAAAACGTTAAAGCTGTTAAATGATTTTAAGTCGTTTGGGTAAATAACCACCAAATATTATTTAGTAATGATTTACATAATTAATTTTGCATGCACGGAGTTTTTATGTAACCAACAGAAACTCATTTGTTATTTATTTTAGTGTAATGTTAATAAACAAATTAATGTATTTTTTTGGGGTTGCGGGTCAACCTCAATATTTTACCGCCGTACCGCGGCCTAGGGCTTGAGCAAGAGAAGGAACGGAGTGATTTTTATTTAGTAAGAGCGACACTAAACTTCTTGCCTTAACCAGGACGAGAGAAGTTGAAAAAACATACAAACCCCACAAAAAATGTTAAGGTTAGTTCATAAACAAATAAATGTGATGTAATAATGGTTAACAACGTAAAACCGAATGTATTGCACATTACATTGAGTATATAATGTACCAACCTTATAATGGATAGGTTTATCTATCTATCTACATAATGAAAGATTAGTCAAAGAAAAGATGAAAGGAGATAAATATGTTAGTTGTTATTACTGTCCAAAGTACAACTAAAAAGAGCCCTCAGTACCCAAGCATCTAGAAAACATAATAGTATTACACTCACTTCAACGTGAACCACAGATAAAAGTATGTTCGAAAACAGAAATGAGGTCTACAATACCCTATTTAACACACCGAAGATCGAGCACAAAATTAAAATTTAAAAAAGGAAAAAGAAAGAAAAATCATAAATAAGTACTTACATTCAAAATGGGAGCGTTGTTTCGTTTTTATAATGTATTGGAAATAAGTCAGCCAGTTATTTTGGTAGGTAGGTATCTACACGTATACATATGTATATACCTATGTATTTTATGTCGTGTGAGTACCTATATATATATTTTCTATTTCTCGATGCAAGTTAGTATAGTAATTACTACAACGAGAAAAATAAACTCCGTTTTGTTTGTCGACAATTAGCGCTTACGTATTTTTTGTGTGTTGAAAAGCGCGTGCCTCATAACCAACTGAACCCAGCCTTTACTGACAGACACAGTCGGCCCATGAGGCAAATAACTCCACAAGTCAACGCCTAAATCAGCAAACATAATTGAAACAGAGTTATTAAATGCGGAATGCACTTTATAATTTACCTAACTAAAACTTAAGCACTCCAGATAAAAAAATATACAACATAAAATATAACATTAACTAATAACAAACTCAAATTTAACTAAAGAAAATAAATAACATTTTTTATTGATTATTTTACATCGCTTACAAACTAAAATATTTACACAAAAAAATCAAAAACTGCACTCGTTTGTGGCTTACGCGGTAATATCACGGATATCGTCTCTTGCGAATACTTAGGTCCTCATATTATAAATATAAATAACAACACTGTTGAACAGTCATTGATCACTGCAAACCTCGTCGTCTTCCTTTCCACCTGAAATTACCGAAAATCAACATAAAAGAAACGAAAAATTAAAATTAAAAGTAAAAAATAAAAACCAAAGCATGCAGTCAAAATGAAAATTGAAATCTACGCATGCTGTGAATAAAAGTACATTTATAATAAAAGGGACTTTCACAATTGAACAACTCGTACATGAATGAAACCTTGTGAGAAATAACACGTTAATACAGTTCTGTCGTCAACATTCGCAGTGTGCTGCCCGATGGTTGCATGGTACAAAGAATGTTGGAAACAGTAACAATACGAAACAGGCCAAAACTTGAAGTACTTACTGAGGTAAGGCTCGCCCATAGTGCCAGGCAGGTACGGGCAGCTGGTGACATGGTTGAAGTTCTGCGATTGCATCTCCTCCTGGTCGGTCTCACGGTGGTAGAAGTAATTGAAGTTTGACACGATGACAGGAACAGGTAATGCGATGGTGAGCACTCCGGCAATGGCACACAGGGAACCGACGATCTTTCCCCAGACGCCAACAGGCCTATACCATAAACGCATTTTATTAAAAAACAGTAAGTACGTATACTTCTCTCCCAGCTACTCAAGTAAATTGAATGAATCGTAATGTTAATAAACATAAACGCGATTGATGATGTTCATGCGTTAAAATGTACAATACATACCGATGTCGAACGATTACATAAAATAATAATATAAAAATCAACGAAATGACCCAACTACCAAACGAAACTGAATGGAAAAATTTAATCATTACAAAAATTGAGTAAAGTTTTTGAAATGGGTAAGACCAGTCGCTTGGCGAAATTAAGGGCGCAAGCAATACAATATCATTCCTCCACACTCATACTCGCTAGCGTGTCACAGCGAACTGTAACACCAGTCATTGCAATGCAGTCTGTATAACGCGAGCTGGTGAGTCCATATGAAAAAAGTAATCGTGCGTTTGGAGAACGTATTTATAGTATAACATTTGATTCGCAACGCAGTTGCCAAAATCTAAATGTATACCAAAATACATCTTAACACCACGACCATTATTTTCAAAGGACGTCAATGTTCAGAGAAAATAAAGTCAACCAAATAAAAAGAAAATAACCTAAACGGGCTTAATAGATTAGACTAGAACATAAACTACGGACATTGTTCTTAAACCCACAGAACGATTTAACAGACATGCACTTGTACGTTGCTGCTACACACAAATAATTAAATACATACATATAGTTCTCTATCATCGAAAATGGTGTGTGATAACTAATGATTTGAAGCCAGTGATAAAAAAAGCAATGAATCATTTTAGACATAGTAGCATTATTGTGTAAAATTTACCATCAACGACACGTTTGCAGGGCATTCCAACAACTAGACAGAGAGAGATAGTGGCGATGATAGTCGAACCACGGGGTGCAGAAGCGATTTCTATTTAGAGTTCTACTGCACGCTATGAAGAAGAATACACGACGAGATGATGTGTCGAGCACCATTTTCGATATGTTTACTTTAGTAACATTCGTAATAGCCACAACACCGAAACAGGATACATCCGACGGTACACATCTAGCGAAAGCCATACAAGGGAGTAAACATTCGACGGTGGATAAGAATTCTTTCACAACTGGTCACTTTTAAGTGCTAGGAGCGAGCGGCACCGCGTTCGAAATGTACAACTAAAGCTGTTCTCTCTCATATTAATAGAATACGCTTTGGGAGGGGCGATAGTCACACGGACGACGGGGCCGGTACTAGCACCCTAATGTGAACATGTCTTGTCAATGAGAAATTTTACAACTGTGCTTCCATGTAAAATTGTATGGGTTAAGGACAGTATCGAAGACACAAACATCGTTTCAGAAAATAAAAGTTACAAGACAATATGAAACTTTTCGACCGTGCAAGAGACTGAGTATAAATGTGAATAAAACGTGTGTCGGTTAAGTTCTAAGCGAACAGACGATCAAATCAAACTGAAGCGTAATTACATGATGTGGCGAAAGAATATCACAATAGTGTTAAATATACCAATGTAAGGGTTGGGAATAAAATGAAATGACGAGAAGGCAAAGATGAAACTTAGGGTGAAGTCGCAGTATCATACGTCATGTCTCCGTATCCCACAGTTGTCATTGTCACGACCGCCCACCAAAACGCATCAGGTATGGATTTGAAGAAGCTGTTCTCACTTCCCGCCTCAGCGAAGTACACCGCGGATGAAAACAGCACCACACCTTGAAGAACAAGCACACACCAACGGAGAATACAGTGCGACATACAGTGGTAGGATGGCTTGCGAGCGGCGGGGTCGGGGAAGGCAGGGCGGGGGCGGCGCGACACAGGTTACCTCATATCTCCATAGCCGACTGTGGTCATCGTAATTACTGCCCACCAGAAGGCATCAGGAATGCTATCGAAATTAGTGTCATTGCAGTCTTTGTCAGCAAAAAATACGGCACTGGAAAAGACCACGACACCTGCGAACGCAAAATAGAATGTGAACGCACCGTCAGGACGCGACCGCGCTAAGGTTGAAGATAATTATTTTAATTAGGATCATAGACTGCGACAGGATTGAATATTGGATAGATTTTACTAAGTAAATGGCAAAATGGAATTGAAGTAACCGGCACCGCGCTCACCACTCTCACCGCCCGGCCGCGCTCGGCCTGCTGCGTCACAATACACATCCCGCTATCTTCTGTCCGTATCACTAATACACCTCAATGACACGGTTTGCTTTAATTTATAGTTCACGTGTAGATCTTTATTGAATTAGCTACAGTAATACTATCTGTACTGGTACATATGAATAACTTGGGATTAGTGAACAAGAGTAGGCAAATATAGTTTAGAATATAGGAGAGGCGCATATCTCTATAAAAAACAACGTTAGACTTACCAATAAACAAGAAGAAAATCAATAAGCCAAGTTCCCTCATCGACGCCTTTAACGTACGACCCAGAATCTGTAATCCTTTGGAGTGTCGAGATAGTTTGAAGATTCGGAACACCCGCACCAGACGTATCACCCGTAGTATGGCCAGACTCATCGCTTGGTTAGTCGACTTGTCTTGCGGAGAAACGGGGGCGCGCGGTAAGTTTAGGGTGTCCTCCTCCTCTGCTACGACAGTCGCTAAGGTGATGAAGTACGGAATAATGGCAATGATGTCTATAATGTTCATGACATCTCTAAAAAAATTAAACTTGTTGGGACATGCCAGAAACCGTACTATCAACTCAAACGTAAACCATATAATACAGAGGGTTTCTATCAAGAAGAATGGGTCAGTGATGTCAGGGACTTCATCTTCTTCGATCTTAGTGCCGTTGGTGGTGGTGTTGAAGACTTTGTAGTGTTTGAACTCAGGGAGGGTCTCCAGGCAGAAAATCACGATGGACAGGAGAATGACAAATACGGAGATGATAGCCACGACGCGTGCAGCCTGAGAGCTCTCTGGGTACTCAAAGAGCAGCCAAATTTTGCGCTGGCGCTCGTTGGAGGGAAGGGGTTTCTCCTCCTCCTTGATGAAGCCCTCATCCTCACTGGAAGGATTTGATTTAATTATAATCTGAATGTGTAGCATGTTGACAATGTGTAAATATTTGCATTGCTTGTTTACTCACCGGAATTTATTTGTGGCTTGTTCTCCGAGTTCGTAGAATTTGATCTCCTCGGAAAAGACATCTAAGGGGACGTTAACAGGGCGCCGCAGGCGGCCGCCGCTTTGGTAGTAGTACAGGATGGCGTCGAACGAGGGGCGATTGCGGTCAAAAAAGTATTCGTTCCTATTGAGAAGTTACAGTCGAATCAGAATACAGTGAGAGCACTCACAAAATAGTATAATATTTATATCTGAAGTGACATGCTCGTACTAACCTCAAGGGATCGAAATAGCGTATTCTCCGTGTTGGGTCCCCTAGCAGGGTTTCCGGGAATTGGTTCAGTGTACGTAGTTGGGTCTCAAACTTCAGGCCACTTACCTGTAGGAAAAAAGAACAAGTTTTATATATCGATATTTACTCCAGAAGTTTGAGTTCGAGGAAAATAATTCATACTTTTCATGTTATTATTTTATTTTTATAAGTTTCGTTGCTTACAATTTTATAGACATTTCATTGAGTTACTTAATATTTTTTATACACATTTTTTCCTAAGAGTTTTTAAATCAAACCAACCCAATATTAATTACGCGGAAACTCTTCAGTACGCTGAGCATTAACTAACAGTAAAATTGATAGTATAAAGAAACCGTTGATAGAATATAAACAATTCGCTCAACCTGTCAAAACCCTTTAAATTCCCACAGTGTGTTCAAACTACACTCTTACGCAACGGTAGGAGCGTCCACTCTAAAATTATAACACCCTTGAACTTTTTATTTGCTCTGACCACGTGTTAAAACGGGCCGGTTGGTTCCAGTGTCGCTTCGACTATTTGACAGACCACATGTGATCGAGCGATAGATGAACTGCCTGGTTCGTCTAACCTACATTTATCGGTCTGAATACATAATATTCTTAAGTGAAACTCCACATTACATTAGCTACAAATGTCACGGCGCATATTAGATTTTGAAACCTTAAATCTGAATAGATTTTGAGGGAGTCGGAGGTGAAGCTTAGTGCATTCACATGTAGCTGTCGCGGTCGTCTGCGTGTCACGTTCAGACTACATTAGATTAAGTAAATTTGTTTTAGTATCAGGGACACGATCAAAAGTTGTTAAGGTCAATTAGGTATATGTATTTTGAATTGGGAATACGTAACAAAATGTATGTTAATAAGGGTAATGTCTGTCTTTCAAATTTGGTCGGGTTTTATTTCCGAATGCTTTTCATTACATGTATGTATAACTGAACTATACACGCTACAGTACAAAATGAATAAGAGCTTTATTGACCAAGTAAAAAAAATGGAAAATACCGCTTGGTGTTGGTTTAAACAACTTCTTATAAATTATCAACTCACCTCTGTGGTATACAGCTGATACAAAATACGTTCTAGATTCAAAGCCATCTGTTACATAGTGACTTTGGTGGCTGATTGGGAAGTCTCCTCGGTCGAAAAGAAAATATTTCAAGTTATAAAACCATCAAAATTTCGTGAGCTATTGTTGTGTTTTTTGATCCAACGATTACAGACTCTAATTAATTCAACTTCACCAGGCTGTCAGAGCATGACTTCTATCCTTCCTTGCTACACAAAGTTAACCTCAGTCAAAGTTGAGTTCAGATATTTTTGGAGACATAATTTCACGTTAGTGAATAATGTCTCAAAAATGTTTTCGTATCCGTTTCAATTTGAATACCATTATTTCAGTTATTAAAGTTTGTGTAAAGGCAATTTTAAACTCAACGTTACAAGATGGCCTGTCCATCAGTCATCCAGTGAAGCATGTACGATATAAATGGCCTGACATTATACCGAAGTGCATTATTAGTGAGTGGTATTTATATCCAGTGCATAAATAAGCACATGTGTCAACGTATCAAAGTGATTTGAAAGCTGTCGACCGGTTAGCGGGTACATAAACTATGGATATTGGATGTCCATTGTAAAATGCCCACTTCATTATGAATGATTCAGCCGTCCCGTCCTTTATTACATTTCCTAAATATAGATACAGCTTTTATACTTTGTTAAAACGATGAATATATTTCTTTTTTAATTATTAAGATACATTCATCGTGGTGGCATGGATGTTAATTCTGGTTCAAAACCCGGTAAGTAAAGTAACTGTGTTTCAGTTTTATTATGAAAACTCGTTTAGTATTATTGCGAAGAAACTTGGACTTATAGTTTCCAATCATATATTTGGCGTCTCCAATCCGTCTTGAACAAGCGCGGTGCTTACACACCTCCCTCTAAGAAGAGTTCTTTGCTAGTCTGTGGGCAGTGAGGGTACTCAAATATAGATCTTATGCCTTTATAACACGTTTGTAATATTAAATGAACGACCTTTTTAAAAATTTCACCCAATAACTTTGGACATTGGCTACGTCAGGTTCCAATACGTATTCTAAAATTTACTGAAGTGTAGAATGTAGTACTAGTGGCAATTCAAGGTTTCCAAATCATGATTTATGTCTACAAATAGTTTCTGCAGCGAATACGCTTTATATAATCTTTTGGTTGCGCTCACAGAGATCAAGTGGCTTAGTGTAGTCGCCACGGAAAACATAAGGATACGGTAAGTGTAGGGCTCACACTGCTAACAGTTCTAGATAATTATCTTTGTTTAGGGTAACAAAGAAAAAATAGGCAGAAAAATAAGGTAAAATAATATTAATATCAAAAGTCAACCGGTGTCATAATAATTTTATTTGTAGTAGGTAGTTATTATTATTATATATGTTACGTGTAGTTGTCAAGTTTGAATGTCAGAGCAAACGTGGTGAGTGGTTGAAAACAAATTAATTACTTTTTTTTAAATAATAATCTCATTATTTCAACATGCTTGTTAAACAGCGTACATAGCTATACTGACCAAAGATTGATTAGTACCAAGTAGGTCTTTACGCATTTTTTTAAGAAGTTTAATTATTAATATTACTAATACGCATATCATTAACGTACGACTTTGTAAGTATGAAAGAACGTTTGTAACTCTTTAACATAAAAAACGACTGAGTGGATTTTAATGAAATTTTGTACCGAGACAGATTATAACATAAAATCACACATATACTACTTTTTAAATGAATAGCTAGTTTTCAATAATAAACAAGACTTTGAGCGAAAGAATCTAAGGTCAGGTACAAGCTAGAAACAGTATAGTTTCAAGCTGTTTTTATACAAAAATGTGTAGTTTTATGATGGATGCTAGTTTTTAAATTCATAAAAACGGTTTTACAAACAAAAGTGCGGCCGCCCGTCGTTCAAAGCTTCGACATTGAACGTTCATGAAGGTAAAGTTCAACGTAACAGTTACTCGAGTCGAACTGGTGTTTATAATTATATGTAGTTCGTTTGTCCTCTTGGTCCAGTGACTAAAGAAACGCTGTCTGTTTGTAAAGTGGTAGCTATTCTTTAAAGATTTTCGATATAATTGAAAATAATATAAAATTGTTAAAGTATTTAATACAAAAGTTTCCACGGACTAGATTTTCTAACGAGTCGTGACATAAAGCCCATGAAAAAACTTAGGGATCTCTATTAACATCGAATAAAGCGTGTTAATAAAGTGAAACACTCTGACCACAATTCATAGAGTGAAACAATTTAGATAAAACTGACAAAAATCAATGTTAAGCCGCGCAACGCGATGCTTGTTTTAATACTTAAGTTTAAAAAACAAAACAAAAGCTCCAATACACAAAACCACAATTTCTAAAATTTGGCCTCAACCATCAGGTGATCTTCTATTTTGCTACTCTGTGCCATGCAAAAAGTTGATAGGAAGATATTTATTTATATTTTTTAGAGTATTTCAATAAAAATAGTTTTAAAAAAGTTTTTTTTTAATTTCTGGCGCTGTGTGCATTGATTGTAAATTTGTAATTAGTACAAGAGGGCTAGAAGGCTAGTGTATTGATTGTAAAAGGGCGCTACATGACCTGGAGCCGCCGTAGATATTGGTTTCTCAAGTGTTATAATTATAGTCGCGTCCTCTCCTTCAACTCGACAAAACGTTGTCTGTTGACAAGAAACCTGCCACCTCGTAATGTCAACGCGTCAAGTGCTCGCTCGATACCTAATATGCTTTTGTTGAATATAAAAATAAATTTAATGGCAACGTCCTAACATTATTTATATTGCTATATTTATATTTGTTTTATAAAACGGAACGCGAATAAATGTAATAAATAATATGAATGGATTTTTTATGTTGATACGAACGGAAAATAAAAATTGTAGTCATCTTGTGGAGGGAAGCTGCGGTTTGGTGTACGTACACATGCGCTATGGGCTGGCAATGTGACGGACATTAAATGTTGCTGTCCTGTGTTGGCGTGGAATCTTTCGGGTATTATAAGAATACTGAGGGATTTTGACGGGCCGTGAAAATCTGTTTGCTTCATTTTTAATTTTCACTTGTGTACTCATCAGTTGATAGAAAACGTTACAAATAAAACTAATGTGTTACGTCTACAAGTAAACAGTGCGGGATAACCCTAATCCGGTTGAAAGCGGCCAAAGCAGTGACGTTGCGCGTACGCGGCCGGTCGGGTGCGCAAATTCGGCGCCGCGACGCAGTGCACGCGAGCACAGCGCCGCCCGCCGCGCCATGCGTCAAATTAATCAAATCAATATTTACAAGCAACACGTACATTCACTTTCCGCGGACGTAAAGTTTCACATAGTATTTCTTTCGGCGCGGATGTACCTCTGCGGCTGGCAATGGGCGAATCTAAAAATATATTTTATTGTGTATTCTCCAAGGGCGGAGCGAGTTGTACGTCGTGCTGCAGCGAGATTTTATGAAGAGAGTTTAATTAATCTTACGTTGTTAATGCTAACCGCGAATGACTCCATGTTTTAAGGTCGAGTTTCTTTTTATATAAGCACCTGAACCCGAGGAACCGCGCGGCATGCGCAGGCGCGCGTCTTCGTCTTACAAATAAACGTACGTCTACGATACTTTCCGTTCAAAATATATTAAACAAAATATAATTAATGAAAACATCGCACTCGTTAGCGAATACTTCATAAAGCTAACATTTCATAATTAACATCGCCACATACAGCCGGTTGCTAATTACACAGTCACAATGAATGAAACAGAATTCGCATGTTCTTACCTACAACGAGGTATTCTATGTATATTAAAACAGCACTCATTTATAATTATCGTCATCTCTTTAGTGATTCACAGAATGATTTCGAGCTTCGACAATTTTGCAACAGAGTGCAGTAAACGGAAATTGGAATGTAAACCAAAAGGTAATAAGTCACGCGCTGAGAATTTTCTATAAACGTTTGTGTGGCAGTAGTGGCAGTTGGCAATAAAGTACCTCGCACATAGGCAATTTGTCAAAACC